TTATCCTGACCCCTTTCCCAGTGCTATATAGTTGTAATGGCTTGGCGCTTGCTCCTGATACTTTCCTTCTCTTCCCAAAATGGGGTAGTGTTGAAATAAACACACACACACACACACACACACACACACACACACACACACACACAGGCACTGGCACAGGAACCTGTACACCTGTTGATTGACGGTTGAGAGGCGGGACCAAAGAGCCAAAGCTCAACCCCCGCAAGCACAACTAGGTGAGTACACACACACACTCCAGCCTATCCTCTAAAAATGATAGTTACAGGAAAAAATTATCGAACGTCCAACAAAAAGTATTTTTCCCCCAAAAGTTCACTTTTGTACTATTGGGGACACCCCAAATGGAGTCCTGAAACTGTAAACAGTGACTATACAATCTAAGCTATCCTAGGCCTAAACAGTCGTAGGCCTAATTTAGTATGCTATACTAGGGAAGGTCAGGTTAGGTCGTTGTCTTCTTTCTCGTGTTCACTACACAACATGAGCAATTTTTTTGGCGGAACCGTCCATTTCTGTACGTTGCTGTGGGTGCTGTTATTTGTGGGTGACAGTTAGCACGCCCACCACCCATCCTACAAGCCGCCCACCCCTATCCAACCCTCCCAACTATCCCTACACAGGCAAACTAGCCACCCACCCGTCCACTAAACACCCACCCAGCCAGCCACCCGTCCACCAGGGCAGAAGCATCAGTTACTAAACACACACACACCCACACCAACCCATTACAACACTATTGCTTGCCCACCATTAGGGGGGGGGGGGCTGGGGTTTAAGGGGGGGGGGGGGTATCAGGTCCCCGCGGTCACCCATTTGGAAACGACAAGACAAATGGATAATTCCTTAATTTAGCACTTTTTTCCCCTCTTCCATTTTACCGTCAGCTGGACACACAATTAACATGGGAGTGACAGGTGGTGGAGATCCCACTCTCACGCAGGTGAGGGAGTGAGGTGGAGGGAGAGGGTAGGGGATAGGGGAGGAGGAGAGGATGAAGGGTAGGGGATTGGGGAGGAGGAGAGGATGAAGGGTAGGGGATTGGGGAGGAGGAGAGGATGAAGGGTAGGGGATAGGGGAGGAGGAGAGGATGAAGGGTAGGGGATAGGGGAGGAGGAGAGGATGAAGGGTAGGGGATAGGGGAGGAGGCGAGGATGAAGGGTAGGGGATTGGGGAGGAGGAGAGGATGAAGGGTAGGGGATAGGGGAGGAGGAGAGGATGAAGGGTAGGGGATTGGGGAGGAGGAGAGAATGAAGGGTAGGGGATAGGGGAGGAGGAGAGGACGAAGGGTAGGGGATGAGGGAGGAGGAGAGGATGAAGGGTAGGGGATAGGGGAGGAGGAGAGGATGAAGGGTAGGGGATAGGGGAGGAAAAAGGGGGGAGAAGAGGGAGTTTTTTGGAGGAATAAAGAGGATGGAATCCCTGGAAACACAAACCGTAACTGTCTTTATTTTCCGCTTGTTACAACTTGTAATAAAGTTGTTACATCTTGGCTTAATGTGTTTATGACGTATTAGAACGTTGTTACAACTTGCTATATTGGTTGTTATAACTGGTTAGGTGTTAAAACTTGTTGAAACGTTGTACCAACGTCGTAGTTTCGGTGTGTGTGTTTGGTGGGTTTAAAGGCACAAGTGAAGGGAAAGTTTGGAAATGGGAAATGCAGTGAGAGGTATGAAAGCAGGCGGGCTGTCCGCCTTGCTGACACCATGTGTGGGTGTTGGCAGCTAAGCTAAGCTGGCTCCCTCTTGTCAGGGAGCTGTGAGTGTGTGAGAGGTTCTTCACATGTGTTTCACCATATATGGATGTCCATAGATAAATACTGTGTAGCATTCATATATACACACTCCAATGCTTCCACACATGTTGTTCTGTTTAAGGCTCTTTATTTCTTGTTTATTTGTTATATACATATACACACACATATGCATACATATACATATTTTTCCCCAACCCCAATGCAGAATACATCACATACGCTGACCATGTCACCCAAATAAAATACCAACCGGGACCACCAAAGCCGCTACTAGCCGACAAGACCAAGGCACCAATTGAACTCATAAACAAATTTGAAAAGCAATGGAAAAAAAGGTACAAATAAACAAAAATTCCAGATAATACATATTACAAAAAGAAACCAGAGACCCCGTTATCTTAGACAACGGCCCATCCAATATACGGAGGTAGGCAGAATACTGGGAGTCGATATTAGAAGAACGGGAATCAAAATTCGCGTAATGGACAGATTAAACGCAACAAAAAGGATATTCCTTAGCCTTACCAGGAACATACAGCTACACCTACACCTACAATATCCTTCACTACCACTATATATAAAGCAAACTAACATGCACTAACTGCAAGCAGTGCAAAATAAGGCGCTAAGGAGAGCAGCAAAACACCGTCCACCTTAAGACTAGACAATCCAGGAGCTCCAGGAACTCCTGAACACACAGCCACTAAACATCAGACTTCAGCACCAAGCCATCTTAGATCTACTACGGGCTCACCATAGCCCGTGCTACTTGGAACTTTTTGTATCATGCTGCAAGACCTTGTTCCTTTGGACGAAAGACTTCGCTGTATCCTGCCTCGAAAGTATCTCTTTACATCTCATTCCTTCTATCATGCCTCTGGGTGGGTCTGATTCCTTATATCATGCCTCTGAATGCGTCTGATTCCTTATATCATGCCTCTGAGTGAGTCTGATTCCTTATATCATGCCTCTGAGTGAGTCTGATTCCTTATATCATGCCTCTGAGTGCGTCTGATTCCTTATATCATGCATCTAAGTGCGTCTGATTCCTTATATCATGCCTTTGGGTGCGTTTGATTCCTTATATCATGCCTCTGAGTGCGTTTGATTCCTTATATCATGCCTCTGAGTGAGTCTGATTCCTTATATCATGCCTCTGGATACGTCTGATTCCTTATATCATGCCTCTGAGTGAGTCTGATTCCTTATATCATGCTTCTGGATACGTCTGATTCCTTATATCATGCCTCTGAGTGCGTCTGATTCTCCTTGAACCTGAACGACTGCTGCCACGATTGCCTCGTCTGCTCGTTTGATTGGCTCGTTATTCTGATTATTTCCTGTCACTAACTGGCTACTAGTAACCTATAGTTTCACACCATCAATGGTCGGCTCCACACTCCTGTCTGTCGCTCTGATTGGCTGCGCGTCCTCTTTCGCTTCACTTGTCATTAAGATGATGTCTCTTCATTACCATTAGTCACCTGATTGGCATTAGTCACCTGACTGTTGTCACCTGAATGTTATTTGTCACAAAGTGAAGGTTGCCCATCACTCTGATTACTCAGACAATTTACACTATTTTCCACTCTGTTTTCACCATCCTTTTGACACTGTCACATTGTCACTGTCCACCACTCACCTGCTCAACACGTCCTGATTGGCTACAGGAGAGGAGGAGCCCCAAGCAAGCCCAATCAGCTCTGCTGTATCGAATCATCTACATAATTACTCCTTCGTAATTAAATCCCCTCCTACACTAACCACCAATTACAATGAGCCTCATCTAATCAGCGTAATTGGAGAACAGGTGATTTGCTCATTAAGCACTTTGGTTTAACCGTAACTGCCAATTAGCTTTTTATATAAGGTATTATTCTTAAAGAGTGGATATTGTATTTTGTAAAATATGTGACGAATAATTTATTTATCATATATATATATATTATTAAATATGACCGAAAAAGTAAGATTAATAATTCTAACACGAATTTTCTCTATCTTTCTTACGTTTCTTTTCACTGTTGATGGTAATTCAAAGATCAATTCTCCAAAATTCATTTTTATTTCTAGTCTGACGCGACACTTGAGCGCGTTTCGTAAAACTTATTACATTTTCAAAGACTTTAGTTTACAAACACACAACTGAAACTGAATAGAGCTTACACATCTTCGAGTTTATATCTACATTTGGGTGAGGTGGATGAGGTGAAAACAAACTTTCAACAATGGGTATTGAATGGGTATTAAATTCAAACACAAGACAGAACACGAAACAATGGGTATTGAATGGAAGTAATTGTAGAAAGCCTATTGGTCCATATTTCTTGATGCTTCTATATTGGAGCGGAGTCTTGAAGTGGGTAGAATATAGTTGTGCATTAATTGGCTGTTGATTGCTGGTGTTGACTTCTTAATGTGTAGTGCCTCGCAGACAGCAATATCAACACTATTGCCAGCACAAAAATCACAACATTAACTACAGCGTCAATACACCTGTATTGACGCTGTATTACATTACAAAAATAAAAATATTGACAACCTTCATGACCCCAAAAACCTCAGTACCATTTTCCTAAATAAAATACAAAACTCGCAAATAATAATTATAAAACTAAAACCCCCAAATACTAATAAAAATACAGTAAAAACATAGATAATAAGAAGTAGGAAATAAAAACAAACTAATCGAATGAAATAAGGTCGAAGAAATACGTATGGGTTGAAAGTTGAACACCTTCCAGCGGCGTTCAATCAGCGGGCATGTTCAATAACCTCTATTGAGGAAGTGAACAACAAAACCTCCTTGAGGTCTTGTTCCAAGAAGCTGAGAAGAGAGAGAGAGAGAGAGAGAGAGAGAGAGAGAGAGAGAGAGAGAGAGAGAGAGAGAGAGAGAGAGAGAGAGAGAGAGAGAGAGAGAGAGAGAGAGAGAGAGAGAGAGAGAGAGAGAGAGAGAGAGAGAGAGAGAGAGAGAGAGAGGTCTGATTATGAGACAAGGAGATGGGGGGGGGGGGGAAGAACACATCTCAAGTCAGCAAATGAACAAAAGAACAAGTGGATGGAGAACACACACAAATCTTGGGTCACCAAATGAACAAAGAAAACCACAGTCGTGAAGACCCTGTAGCGATGGCTGACAGGTGAGGCTGGTGTCAGGAGGCGGCTCACAGGTGAGGTTGGTGTCAGGAGACGGCTGACAGGTGAGGTTGGTGTCAGGAGACGGCTAACAGGTGAGGCTGGTGTCAGGAGGCGGCTCACAGGTGAGGTTGGTGTCAGGAGACGGCTGACAGGTGAGGTTGGTGTCAGGAGACGGCTGACAGGTGAGGCTGGTGTCAGGAGACGGCTGACAGGTGAGGTTGGTGTCAGGAGACGGCTGACAAGTGAGGTTGGTGTCAGGAGACGGCTGACAGGTGAGGCTGGTGTCAGGAGACGGCTGACAGGTGAGGTTGGTGTCAGGAGACGGCTGACAAGTGAGGCTGGTGTCAGGAGGCGACTGACAGGTGAGGCTGGTGTCAGGAGACGGCTGACAGGTGAGGCTGGTGTTAGGAGGCGGCTGACAGGTGAGGCTGGTGTCAGGAGACGGCTGACAGGTGAGGCTGGTGTCAGGAGACGGCTGACAGGTGAGGCTAGTGTCAGGAGACGACTGACAGGTGAGGTTGGTGTCAGGAGACGGCTGACAGGTGAGGCTGGTGTTAGGAGGCGGCTCACAGGTGAGGTTGGTGTCAGGAGACGGCTGACAGGTGAGGCTGGTGTCAGGAGACGGCTGACAGGTGAGGCTAGTGTCAGGAGACGACTGACAGGTGAGGTTGGTGTCAGGAGACGGCTGACAGGTGAGGCTGGTGTCAGGAGGCGGCTGACAGGTGAGGCTGGAGATAGCAACCTCCACAACTAGCACTACCATCATTTCTGAAACATTTGCTCAAGCATTTCTTCCTCTTAAGACGTGGCTGCAAGATGCAACAGAGGTCAGATAGCAGCACCCAGGCCCTAGGAGCAGCACCCACCCCTAGGAGCAGCACCCAGCCCTCCCTAGGAGCAGCACCCAGCATCCCTAGGAGCAGCACCCAGCCCTCCCTAGGAGCAGCACCCAGCCCTCCCTAGGAGCAGCACCCACCCCTAGGAGCAGCACCCAGCATCCCTAGGAGCAGCACCCAGCCCTCCCTAGGAGCAGCACCCAGCCCTCCCTAGGAGCAGCACCCACCCCTAGGAGCAGCACCCAGCATCCCTAGGAGCAGCACCCAGCCCTCCCTAGGAGCAGCACCCAGCCCTCCCTAGGAGCAGCACCCAGCATCCCTAGGAGCAGCACCCAGCCCTCCCTAGGAGCAGCACCCAGCATCCCTAGGAGCAGCACCCAGCCCTCCCTAGGAGCAGCACCCAGCATCCCTAGGAGCAGCACCTACCCCTAGGAGCAGCACCCAGCCCTCCCTAGGAGCAGCACCCAGCCCTCCCTAGGAGCAGCACCCAGCATCCCTAGGAGCAGCACCCAGCCCTCCCTAGGAGCAGCACCCAGCCCTCCCTAGGAGCAGCACCCACCCCTAGGAGCAGCACCCAGCATCCCTAGGAGCAGCACCCAGCCCTCCCTAGGAGCAGCACCCAGCCCTCCCTAGGAGCAGCACCCAGCCCTCCCTAGGAGCAGCACCCAGCCCTCCCTAGGAGCAGCACCCAGCATCCCTAGGAGCAGCACCCAGCCCTCCCTAGGAGCAGCACCCAGCATCCCTAGGAGCAGCACCCAGCCCTCCCTAGGAGCAGCACCCAGCATCCCTAGGAGCAGCACCCAGCCCTCCCTAGGAGCAGCACCCAGCATCCCTAGGAGCAGCACCCACCCTAGGAGCAGCACCCAGCCCTCCCTAGGAGCAGCACCCAGCCCTCCCTAGGAGCAGCACCCAGCATCCCTAGGAGCAGCACCCAGCCCTCCCTAGGAGCAGCACCCAGCCCTCCCTAGGAGCAGCACCCAGCATCCCTAGGAGCAGCACCCAGCATCCCTAGGAGCAGCACCCAGCCCTCCCTAGGAGCAGCACCCAGCATCCCTAGGAGCAGCACCCAGCATCCCTAGGAGCAGCACCCAGCATCCCTAGGAGCAGCACCCAGCCCTCCCTAGAAGCAGCACCCAGCATCCCTAGGAGCAGCACCCAGCATCCCTAGGAGCAGCACCCAGCCCTCCCTAGGAGCAGCACCCAGCATCCCTAGGAGCAGCACCCAGCATCCCTAGGAGCAGCACCCAGCCCTCCCTAGGAGCAGCACCCAGCATCCCTAGGAGCAGCACCCAGCCCTCCCTAGGAGCAGCACCCAGCATCCCTAGGAGCAGCACCCAGCCCTCCCTAGGAGCAGCACCCAGCATCCCTAGAAGCAGCACCCAGCCCTCCCTAGAAGCAGCACCCAGCATCCCTAGGAGCAGCACCCAGCATCCCTAGGAGCAGCACCCAGCATCCCTAGGAGCAGCACCCAGCATCCCTAGGAGCAGCACCCAGCATCCCTAGGAGCAGCACCCAGCATCCCTAGGGCCAGCCAACACCTGCCCCGGGTCGCTGGGGTCAAACCAAAATGATTGTGTGTAATAATTTGACAAGGTATTTTCAGAGTAAATAATTAAATGGCGAACCCTCCCACCAGCCAACTGTCGCTGGCGTCGACCCTGCGGGGGTCGAACAGGGCACCACAATAGGTTGGTCGAACATGACAACCCACACACCGCCCTGGAAGCTCGTTGTTGTTTACCTAATCATCGGCATTAGCTCGTTGTCAGCCCCGTTGATGGTGGGCTCCGAGCTACGGAGCATCAGTAGCTACAACAGGTGTTCCTGGTCCCAGATGTGTTCCACGCTTGGAGGTGATGCTGAGGTCTTGAGATGACGCAGTGTAAGAGGGAGAGTAATTGTCCTTCCGTGTCCTTCAGCTGGAGCTGTGGTGGTGGTTTGGTGGTTAGCTGTGGTGGTGGTGGAAGATGATTGGCTGGGATAGTTGTGGGTGGTAATGGTTGGTTTGTGGTACTAGTTGTGGTGTTTGCTTGCTAGTTGCGATAGTAGCGATGGTTGGTTAGTTATGGTGATTCAAACAAGCCTTGCGTCAGGGAATGAGCGCTTCAGTACCGTGGGGTTAATGTTGCAAATATAAAAACAATATAGATTAATGCAACACCACCAGCCTCAGTGGTGATGAATGCAACAGCAGCAATAACACACACACACACACACCCACACACACACACACACACACACACACACACACACACACACACACACACACACACACACACACACACACCCACACCCACACACCCCTCCACACACACACACACTCACCAGCACGATAAGTGGCAGGGACAGAAGGTTGAAGGAACAGGTGTGGAAGACCACTGGTGGTGATGCTGCGGTTAGCGGGGTGCTCCCTGGATGACCCCAGCGATGGTAGCCGCCAGTTGGCCCTTGGGGCACGGCCCTCCTGGCGACGTTCAGGGACTCCACCCACAGTGTGGTGCACCTCTTGACCCCTGCAGTAGCCGCAGTGAGGGCCCTGGGGCGTGGCCCTCCTGTCACACCCACGGGGCTCTCTCTAACAGTGAAGAGCAAGGGTGGGAGGCCACCGGATCTCATCACAGGGGATAATCATCACATGATGAGCCTGTGGCGCTCATCTTGGGGTGGCGGTATCAAGTCCTGGGAACATCTAAGTATATGCAGGCGAGGAGTCACAATAACGTGGCTGAAGTATGTTGAGCAGACCACACACTAGAAGGTGAAGGGACGACGACGTTTCGGTCCGTCCTGGACCATTCTCAAGTCGAAGAATGAACGTATCTCAAATATGTTGATTTTCTTCTATTCACGTCTCTCTTGCCTACTTATTGCCTTCGGGTCCTTCTCTTGTACACTTACGGGCTATTCATGCCCGTGCCACCTCTTGGGTGGCTTAATCTTTATCAATCTTCCGTCGTCCAGACGGGAGACATCTCCCGTCACGCAGGGTGCAGTCGCACCTCCACAGATCTCCAGTATCAGCTCTTGATACTGGTAATGGCTCAAAAGGGCCACCACTTACGGGCTATTCATGCCCGTGCCACCTTTTGGGTGGCTTAATCTTCATCATCTTCCCTCGTCCAGACACAGCACCGCTCCTGTGCCAGGTAAGTTACGGGCTCACCATAGCCCGTGCTACTTGCCCCGCTCCTGTGCCAGGTAAGTTACGGGCTCACCATAGCCCGTGCTACTTGCCCCGCTCCTGTGCCAGGTAAGTTACGGGCTCACCATAGCCCGTGCTACTTGCCCCGCTCCTGTGCCAGGTAAGTTACGGGGCTCACCATAGCCCGTGCTACTTGCCCCGCTCCTGTGCCAGGTAAGTTACGGGCTCACCATAGCCCGTGCTACTTGCCCCGCTCCTGTGCCAGGTAAGTTACGGGCTCACCATAGCCCGTGCTACTTGCCCCGCTCCTGTGCCAGGTAAGTTACGGGCTCACCATAGCCCGTGCTACTTGGAACTTGTTCCGAGTAGCTGACTCTATAACAACAACTGCCCTCGTTACAATAGACTTATGAATGGTCCACGACGGACCGAAGCGTCGTCGTCCCTTCACTTTCTAGTGTGTGGTCTGGTCAACATCTAACTATACGTAGTATTGATCTACAGGACTGAGCTCCAGACTAAATGGAGGACAGTTGTAGAGGCTGTATAATAAACAAGTATATATTGGGGCTTCAAATTCGAGAGACGAGAGAGAATTCAAATTATTCGCCACTTATCGTCCTGGTGTGTGTGTGTGTGTGTGTGTGTGTGTGTGTGTGTGTGTGTGTGTGTGTGTGTGTGTGTGTGTGTGTGTGTGTGTGTACTCACCTAATTGTACTCACCTAATTGTGCTTGCGGGGGTTGAGCTCTGGCTCTTTGGTCCCGCCTCTCAACCGTCAATCAACTGGTGTACAGATTCCTGAGCCTATTGGGCTCTATCATATCTACATTTGAAACTGTGTATGGAGTCAGCCTCCACCACATCACTTCCTAATGCATTCCATTTACTAACTACTCTGACACTGAAAAAGTTCTTTCTAACGTCTCTGTGGCTCATTTGGGTACTCAGCTTCCACCTGTGTCCCCTTGTTCGCGTCCCACCAGTGTTGAATAGTTCATCCTTGTTTACCCGGTCGATTCCCCTGAGGATTTTGTAGGTTGTGATCATGTCCCCCCTTACTCTTCTGTTTTCCAGTGTCGTAAGGTGCATTTCCCGCAGCCTTTCCTCATAACTCATGCCTCTTAGTTCTGGGACTAGTCTAGTAGCATACCTTTGGACTTTTTCCAGCTTCGTCTTGTGCTTGACAAGGTACGGGCTCCATGCTGGGGCCGCATACTCCAGGATTGGTCTTACATATGTGGTGTACAAGATTCTGAATGATTCCTTACACAGGTTCCTGAACGCCGTTCTGATGTTAGCCAGCCTCGCATATGCCGCAGACGTTATTCTCTTTATGTGGGCTTCAGGAGACAGGTTCAATGAGACACCCTCATTGTGTGTGTGTGTATGTGTGTGTGTGTGTGTGTGTGTGTGTGTGTGTGTGTGTGTGTGTGTGTGTGTGTGTGTGTGTGTGTGTGTTTACTAGTTGTGTTTTTACGGGGGTTGAGCTTTGCTCTTTCGGCCCGCCTCTCAACTGTCAATCAACTGTTTACTAACTACTATTTTTTTTTTTTTTTTTTTTTCACACACACACACACACACCCCAGGAAGCAGCCCGTGACAGCTGACTAACTCCCAGGTACCTATTTACTGCTAGGTAACAGGGGCATTCAGGGTGAAAGAAACTTTGCCCATTTGTTTCTGCCTCGTGCGGGAATCGAACCCGCGCCACAGAATTACGAATCCTGCGCGCTATCCACCAGGCTACGAGGCCCCCCCCGAGGTGTGTGTGTGTGTGTGTGTGT